GGGGGTAGCTTGTCGCAAGACGTGTGTTGAATAGGGTGTCGGCAACTCGGCGAACTCGCGCCAAGGAGGAAAGACGTGTAGGGTTTGTTGCATAAACTTCTCCTTCACATGAACTCACATGAACTCACACGAACTTACATGAACTCACACGAACTCACACGAACTCACACGAACTGAACGCACGCGTGCACGCACCATCACGAGGGGGCGACGCAGTATACAACAGGGGTACCTTACACACCCTGGAAATACATTCCACGTACCACACAATCCTACAACCACTTGGCATTGCTACAAGTATATCTATCATTTCTAGGTAACGAGAATGTGGCCTGAATTGTCTCGAGCTTGCCAAGTTCGCTACAAGGATAGGTACCAGGGGCGCTGCCCCTGTTTCGACAATGCTCATCGAGTTTGGATCGAACGTACAGCAGTGTCACGTGTACATGATCATTTGGTATTTCCATTCGGAGGTTCCCGGTAAAGACAAATCCATTCCAGAGCGTATTGATCCGGAGAATAGCAAACCAGCGGGTGTTTTGCACGAGCCTTCCAGCGAAGCAAAATTGATGTGAAAGAACTTAAGCACTAAAGGCAAGGAGCAAATCGTGAGCGGTAAGTATATCGGTGCTTTCTGACAACATCCTGGCCGGCGGCAGGCGAAAAACGATGAGGATCTTCGCGCGTTCGCCAGGGTTGGCGCTCGTCAGCGGGTTTGGTGGTATCACAATACAAACTGGCGTTTTGGTGCAAGAAATTATGGGCCAGGTATGTATTGTAAAGCTGGTCGTACCCCATGCTGTGGTGCTGATGTCGTGATCTTTAGAGGCTACGATAATTTCCGTGAGCAGCGCTTATCGGCACTTCGGCACACCAAACGGTGCTGATATACATTCACAATCTTACCCTACTGGGCGTAGAAAGAACGTAAACTGCAGGCACACAGGATGAGTAGGCAGGTTCTCTTGTCACCTTCACAATAGCAGCCTTGCTGCTGGTTCTGTCGGCCCTGTTTGGCCTTCTCAGTCGCGAAAGCAGCAGCAGCAGTTTGTTTCTCCGAATCACCGTTCCCGGATTTCTACTTCTGTGCGCATGGCCGTGGAACCAGTTCGCATGTGTGTGTTTGCGTCGGCGTGTGATTTGGAGGCGTTTCTCTTTTCTACCAGTATATGGTAGGACCAGCTGCTCACTCATCCGTGTTGTCCCTTTGTTCGCGTGTTTTTTCTTGCAGGAGGGCAAGGTGCTTCCCTGTATCGCCACGCTCTACCTCAACCCGGTGATGTTCACATTCTACACGCTCCCGTATCTCTTGAGAGGTTTAAGGGTGGTCATCCTCTCGCACAAAGGAAAGTCGTCGACCACAGTCTGGACCTCCGACGCTAGGATTCTATTAGGCGTATAAAGCCCTTACTCAGAGATCCATCTATGTACCAANCTCCCGTATCTCTTGAGAGGTTTAAGGGTGGTCATCCTCTCGCACAAAGGCAAGTCGTCGACCACAGTCTGGACCTCCGACGCTAGGATTCTATCAGGCGTATAAAGCCCTTACTCAGAGATCCATCTATGTACCAACTACTCTATTCTCCCGCGTCACCGCTCTCCCAAAAAATGCCAAACACAAGAAACAAATTGAACTTCCCTCGGAGGGGATCAATGTCGAGGAGAAGAGATTTCCCCGTCTTTTTGAATTTCCTTCCTTTTCGATGCGACAATTTCCCTCGATTTTTGTCGCACTTTTGGCCTCGCTGCGAATCAATGGTGCTTTGTCTGAGTATGTAGGTCTTGAGTTTACACTAAAAATGCTGCTTTTATGTTTCACCTGAACAAGAGGGAGCCTTGCCCGCCGACCCACTCGGCTTTATTGGAACGAACCTTGCCGCGACGATACGCGTACGTTGGAGACTCACCCACTACCATCGTCGTACGTTTTCAACATGCGGAGCAAATGTTTCCTTCGATCGTCCGGAAACCCACGGGAACACGTGCTCCTCCTGCCGACCAATCGATGCGCAAAACCGGACAACAGTGTGGAGAGCGAAGTACATGGGACTCCTCTCTCGGAACAACGTTTTGGCAACCCTGGGAATCACCTACATGGTCCTGAATGGGGTCTGCGCCATACTGCAGCAAGCCCCACCACTACTGTACGGGTGAGAGGATGAATAAATGTGCGGATGTCCCCTTTAGGATCAAGTGAGAAACAGTAGGACCTAGAACCTTTGCTTCGACTACCGCCCACGTCGTTGGGCTTCCTCTTTGCTCTCCTGGCACTGATACCCACTCATTCGGCCTTTCCGGGGCGTGGCCTACGGACAGCACCATACCCGAGCCAAGAAAACACTCACTGGATATTTTGCTGTGGGTGTTTTGTCGCTGTTGACAAGATTTATTCACCCAACCCGCAACGAGGGTTACACCGTGCACATTCCTAGCGGACTCACATTTTCAACACGCACGCGCTTGCAGGAACAACCCCACAGAATGGTGCTTCTTTTTTGGAGACTGGTGGCTCTGGGGCTCTATAGGCGCCGCGATGATTATGGGGACAGCTAGGCTCTTCCTGGAGCTAGCGCGAGTAAACGACAAGATCAACATGGCCAAGGAAATATTAAGGATTTCTTGCACGTGGCTTGCTGCTTTCGGTGAGCGCTAACCCCCAGATGTATTCAGCATACGAGCTCAACACATCTGCCTGGTGATCAAATGAAACGGTCACTTTGCGCCTACAGGCTGCAGAAGGACCAACGAAGGTACTGGTTGAAATCGCCGGAGTAGACACGTCCGTCTGCACTCACACTTGCAGAAGGCGGCTTGTCGCGACAGTGAGCAAGCAAGCACGAAAGAACATCCTACATGGACGGGAATAACCTTGTGGAGACTGAACAACATTGAAGCCCTTGATGATGACTGGGGTGCCTCGACCAGCTTGAGACCGTCTCGTTGTCACGACATACATGTTAAGGGTGATACCCTCGAAGAAAACCGACAGAGATTCTACGAAGCGGCCAACCATACCTTGCCCCGAAGGTCTCTACAGATAGAAGCCCATGTCTCCGTTGTCTCGTAATCAAAGCTTCCCACGGCACCTGCTCAATCTGCAGACCGTCGTGTACAAACAGCGATAATTTTTCTCCCAAACACCAACCAGACGTGCATGTATCATGCCATGTTTTGAACTTCTACCGTGTACTCCATTTGCTCCTCGCCAAAGTTCCTGCACCGTGAATTCTACCTCCTTCTATGGATGAAATATATGCAGGCATATTTCTTTTTCGCTCGCAACGCATCATCACTACTTTGTCAATCGTGATCAACAGCGATTTAACCCTCGGAGCTGAAACCCGAAGAGAGTTCTTGCGACGACACTACGATTCCGGGAACACTAGACACGGGATCCCAACACTCCCCGGAAATCTCTATACTCCCTTGCCCGAAATGTGACGGCGCCTGTTGGGTATCGCTGGCAGTCCTGTACTTTCCCTGGCTAATCCTCGGCACTTTTGAAGTGGTGGAGCTCACGCCGCACCTGGGCCTCTTCTTTTAATGGCCGGGGATTGCCACGACGCAAGTGATCACGTAAGTGCTCCTTTCCCCAAGTCAAATAAGGGTGGTTCACGAGCGACGGCAGATCGGGCATCGCATTGTCCGGCTTCGAAGCAATGGTAATTTGTAGCCAGACTGGCACGACGATTTGCTAGCTACACATTTTGTTGTACATGGATCGTCCTGGTGAAGGCGTTTGGTCATGACGGTTGAGAAACGAATAAAGTGCACAGTTCTCTCGTGTTCAGCCTGTGATGGTGTTCACGATCTCGAGATCGTTCAAGAGAAGAAAAAGGCCTCTCTTTTCTACCCCGACTGTTTTGTAGTGCTCCAAGCTCGAAACGTCAGGAACAGACTTCTCGTGCAACGCGACACACACGTAGAGCAAACGGCTGTTCGAAACACGAGAACTTACCATAGGAAGGGTGAATCTGGAGAAATACTCCAGTCAAGGAAAACACCCGAACAGTTCTCCGATGAGCAATATGGCGTCTCGGGGGGGCAAAACAACAGGTTTATGATGGAGCCTCGGCGAAGGCACGGAGAGGTTTCCTGCTGGAAGAAAAAAAAAATCACCGTCGTCGTTGACGATGCCCGTACCGCTGCTTGGAGAGAGCGATGGCACAACTCTCAGGTATCGAAACATCTCCAGTACGCCAAAATGCTTCTCACGGCGTTGCAACAAGCCGTATGTGTTGGAACACTCAATGTCAGTCATAAGTGTTACTGCTCAACAGTACGTAGGTATTCACCTAAGGAGAAATACCGGAATAGTCTTCGGTACATTGTATAGGTAACGGATCATTGTACACGCCTACGGGTTATACATTGCACCAGGAGTATGGTACATCGGACCATTGTCCTTTGGGATATTCTCGTAGTATCGCTACAGGTCGGATTAACCGACTGTTACCGTGATCGGTAGGTTGCAATAGCCCGTGTGTGTGCTTCTTTCCGTGATAGCTTGGAGGCTCGCCCCCCGTGGTGCTCGCCCCCACTCGATCACTCCTCTTCTCTTCCTTACCTTTCGGCCAACTATGCGCCAATTCCAAACCATTTATCTGGTCTACAAACAAGTGCACTTTACAGTCACTCTGTGAGCCTCTGCACACTGTTCTTACACAGTGGCCATTGCCAGGATACAACCTATCACAAGGTTACATGTAGTACCTGGATTGGTGTCTAACTCCGGTTCCATGTGTGTAATGACAACTTGAAGGGGCAAGAAACGACCACGATGGTACCTTGGGTACGCACTGCTCGTCAAGGGCTTAGGACCTTAGACCATTCGGCACGAAAAAGGAACATGATCGCAGTGGACAAACTCGGCCACCAGGGCCACGCAGTGGTTGATCCCCCAATCCCGCCCCAAACAAAAACAAACTTTGCGAATCTGATGGACACATTTCGGCCATGATAGGTGATCATGAGTAATCCAGTTCTGGATCAAGCTTTCGAGAAGCACGCGCAGGACTACCTTTGTTCAGAGTCCTACGACTTCATCCAGGAGGTCTGTGCCAACACGCAAGTGGTGAACCAATGTTCGCTGATATTGAAGGCATATTTTCCGTGTTTTGAGGTTCACTACTGTAACACGTAATGACATTTGTTTTTCCCTACAATAGTGGAATAGGCCCTCGAAATTGACTGTCCAACACCACGCAGTCGAAATGGTCCCTGGCGATAGTATTCATCTCAAATGTCGGGAGCCCGCCATGAAAGTTAGGAAGATCCACGAAGGGGTGGGCTATTTTTCCATCGACAAGATTTACCCTTTTCGCGCTTCTGCGGTAGCCTACATTCTTGAAGGATGGATAGCGGGGCACCTCCGTTTGCTTTTATAGTAGATAGCGGAGTCTCAGTTGAGTTACACGGTGGGCGGGGACCTGTACCGCCTAAAAAAGTGCCGTAGGAAAACTAAACGTCAATTTTCGCTTCAGTTTCAATTTCCACATAGCCATGTAGGGCACCGCTCACCGGGATACCCGTAGTCAGCCTTGACCATGTCGCATGTGCGGTACTGTAGTGCACTGCACATAACGATCTGATCCCGACAATGCCCGTCCGGGCCAATATTGGGGCATCATGTTGAACCTGTAGTGGCTTCACACAGAACATCTTCTTGCCTCTGCGACGATNAGTGCACTGCACATAACGATCTTATCCCGACAATGCCCGTCCGGGCCAATATTGGGGCATCATGTTGAACCTGTAGTGGCTTCACACATAACATCTTCTTGCCTCTGCGACGATTCCTGCAGGTGGGATGCTACGTCGCATTGGCCGAACAAAATCCCGCTGAGGATCGTTTTGCGCACTTTACCAATATCGTCAACGTGTACATCTCGGCGGGATCGAAGCTCGAGATCAACATCGGAACAGCAATGCGAACCGGGGTCCTTGAGGTATGGTCGCGGTCATTTTTTTCACCCTGTATTTGCTCCAGCTTGGTAGAGAAAAGCGAGAGATAATAGCACGCTGTTTCATGACATGTGTACCTCCCCGAATCGCTCCTGGTTCGCAAAGATTGGAGACAGAGTGAGGTTTCTGGAAGCTACGTTTGAGAGGCAGCGAGACGTGTTCAACCCTCCGAGGATGGAGATCAGCAAGATGATAGACGAAAACCTGGTACACTCGTTCTGGACAAGACAGCTATTCCTTGACGCCTGCAAGAAATGGGAGGAGCAGCAAGGCGCAGGTATTCTGACAGACAGGTTGTTAATAGTTCGTTCCTGCCAATGTTTCTCCCTTTGAGAATGTTCCAGCGTCGTCGTGAATGACGACCTATAGATGGGGTTTCGCTGCTTTGACACGGACGCAGGGCATATCGTTCTTCGACTACGGTAGCCAAAAAAGTGTTGTTTTCACTCTCGGCCCTGTTTTTTTGCCAAGCGGTTTGGGGCCTTTACGTCTCCCCGCATTCACCAAATTCTTCCAACGAGGGTGTCTTCATGTGATGTTTCTGAGTCCTTTTCGTCTCACGTTGTTTCCATGGTAGGTTTTCACCCATCATATGTAGTCCATCTCGAACCATTGTTCCTTCCAAGCCCATTGTGCTCGCCCCTAAAACAACAAATCAGTCAAACAGCACGCCAAAGGAATCGTAGTCGATGGAGGCGTTTCTGTAAGGAACGGTCGACTTGAGTACCAACAAACAATCAATGGCGACGGACAACCACAGCTTACCAAAGTTGCACAAGTTGCCTGCATTGAGAGATGGGGATTATCTCATCTTGACTGTCACCCTTTGGCTCGTCAAGACCGTCACCATCGTGGGCAAAGGCCTACCCAACGTCGATGACGCACAACTCCTTCACTGGACACTACAGTGTACTCATTCGATTGTTTTCCACCAACTTCTACCCCTCTCACTGGTTGTACCGCGGGAAACAGAGCCTTCGACAACAACAGGGGCTGGAGTACTTGCCGACGAGGAAAATCCATTCACGGGAGCATAGAAGGAAGCCGCTACGTTTATGCAAGCGGCGAAGAATGTGACAGAAAACGATCTGTTTTAGGCCTGTCCTCCATCGGCCGTTTTGCTTGTATGACGGAGAATAAGAAGGTGGAATTACTTGAAATTAGTATAGAAATAAAGTTTGTGTATCTAAATCGAAAATAAAACGGCCGATGGAGGACAGGCCTAGATCTGTTGGATCAGTGGCATAGAAAAGAGTAAAGTGAAGTGCGATATACGACAAAGAGTGGGAGCCTTGGCATGGCTCTGTAGTTCGATCATAATATTCGGGCAAGAGTCTCCTCCCTGTGTATGTGTTTACGAGGGAAAATGTTGGCTCGGTTTCAACCGGCGGTTGAAAGCTTTTTGGTGTTGGCGGCGATAGAGACAGCAATATCGGGACGGGCGGTATGCGGTTGCTGGCATGAGCTGGTTGCATGCCACAGGACTCCACGAAAGAGTTGAGAAAAAAATCGGCGATGTGCATGCCCTACATATATCGCCAAGTCAACCAGCAAAAATATCGGGGAGAAACCACCGTTATGCTGTGTACTTGTGTGGAATCCCTCTGGAATAGGTGCACATGTGTGGCGGTATCGGACAACTGGAGGTCCGACCCTGCTGATTAATATTCAAAGCGTTAGTCCAATTTTGTATATTTCGTCAAATATTCGAAGGAACAATGTCCCGTGAACGACTTAATTTCAAACTTAATTTGTTGGGGCGGGTGCCCGTGGTCAATGCAATCACAACTAAAAATATCCGAGGTCAATCGAAGCACCTCGTGGCGCAGAACCTCTACTTTTCTCAATTACGCCGCAAAAGTACCCGAACCGGAACATTTTTCCGAACCATTTTTCATCTCTCTCCTGCCTCCTCTCCTGTGTACGCGAGTACGCGAACACACGTTGATGAAACACCGCGCCCGAAGCATTGGAGCCAATAGCAGACAACACGAGCCACAGACAGCTTCCCTTGAAGCCTTTGGGGAGAAGGAAGGTGTGTGTATGTGTCTCTGTGCGTGTGTTCGCTTGTGATTTCGAACCGCACCGGCGGCGCGCGCGCATGTAAGACAACATCGATCGACCGTGCGAGCCCCACGCACCACGGCAGCAGTTAGAATCGACGGCTTTCCCCTCCCATGGTACACAGATAGCTTCTTGTGAGCCAATAGTTTATTTTCGGAGCGTCTCTGCGATATTGCTTTTCAAGCCACCTGAATCGTGCACGTAAGATAACACCCCCTCAAATTTGCACAATATAACACCCCCCCAGAAATTGCCTTTTCCCGCTTCCCCCCACCCCTCCAAATAAGACTTTGTCAGTATTACCCCCCCCATCGGACAAATAATATGTTTTGGGGGGTTGGGGGTGTACCTCGAAGAAATGATTTGAAATTAGACTTGTGCCTGCTGCGCGTACTCTTTTAGCTACATATCTCGCCGCCAACTTGTCCGTTGGCCACAAAAATAATATCCGGGTGTGCGCCTCGCCTAGCCCAATAACATACTCCGAGGAAACATTAATCCGTGAAGATCCTGATTTTTCAAGCTAAAATGAAGATTTCGTGTGCTCATTTAGCTACATAAGTCGCCACCGTTTTCATTTTTGGTGCCGACACTTCCCACGCGTGTGCCCCTAGCCCATAGACACACGACAAAAAAAAAATATTGACATCGGAGCAGTGTCGATTTTTAAAGCCTCTTTGAAGTAAAATCAGTACATCATGCTGCCGCTCTCGTCCCAGCATTTTTTTCGCCTCGAAACGAGCCATGTGTGTGTGCCTGGGCCACACCTATCCATCGCCGCATAAGAAACGAGCACATTCGAAGCACATGGCGCTCTGTAGCGCGCAAGTATTGCAAAAAGCACCCACGGGGTCCCCTGGCCACTAATTCCTTCCCAAATTGCGATGTGACCATGAACTGTGCCATATTGTGCTTCCTTCCCCCTTTTTCCACCCCACTTTTTTTCGAGCAATATTGACGCAGGTGCCCACGAGAGACGCGAGAGATGCCCGCCCACTGGACTGTAGTAGAGTCGACCAATCAGAAATCGTACATCGTATCGTACACTTTTTTTTGTCACGATTGGTAGCCAATCACGTTTCGTACACGTATCGTACAGAGTCGTGCCATAGTATTTTCAAGTGTTTTAGCACGATTGGGGATGATTGAATATTTCCGGGTAACGTTAGCCGGCTTTATACAGTAGGTATTGCCCGAACTACGATCAAAGTGGTGGACAAGTACCATTGGCCATCGCTGAAGAAAGATGTACGAGACTACGTGTTGTCATGCCGATGCCATATGAGGAAACATTNGTACACTTTTTTTTGTCACGATTGGTAGCCAATCACGTTTCGTACACGTATCGTACAGAGTCGTGCCATAGTATTTTCAAGTGTTTTAGCGCGATTGGGGATGATTGAATATTTCCGGGTAACGTTAGCCGGCTTTATACAGTAGGTATTGCCCGAACTACGATCAAAGTGGTGGACAAGTACCATTGGCCATCGCTGAAGAAAGATGTACGAGACTACGTGTTGTCATGCCGATGTCATATGAGGAAACGGCCGTGGAGCAAACAGTTTCACATGCAGCCAGCGCGTTTCCTACGTCCATGGGAGGTCTTGGAAATGGATATATAAGATGTGAAGGTGACGTCGAACAAGGGCAACCGGTACTTGTTGGTAATCGTCGATCGAGCTACTAAATTCCTCTTCGCTTCTCCGCTACCCAGAAAGGAGACCTTGGGTGTCATCAGGAACTCATCCTCACTTTTGGTCTACCGCTATCAGTACGTTGTGATCCAGGGACAAAGAACAATTCAGCTATCATGGACCCCACCTGTGCCGTTGGCTGAATATATCTCTGGATTTTGGACCAACCAACCATCCTCGAGGACAGGGTACAGCAGTCGAGAGGATGGGTGCGGTATTACAAGAAATGTTGTCGGAGCTCTGTCAGGCATGGTCAACCAGGTGGGACGAGTATGTGGCAGTGGTCACTTGGGCCCATCGTGCAACACCAGACGAGAGTCTTCCTAACAATGAGACGGCCTAGACTATGCATACCAGCTGCTTTTTGGACGGGCTCCACGGACATCGTTTGAACACCTGTTGTTACCATCGTTGGACAACACGGGGCCGGCATTGCCGTTGGAACGGACGGTGGAGGAGACACGACGGAAGACGGTAAAGTGGCACAAGCGCTACGGGCGAGACACACCGATCGGAATAGACATCGTGATTTCCAGAACGCGGAAGATCAAGCGCACCTCCCCAGGCGCGAAGGCTGAGGTGGGCGACAAGGTATTGGTCAAGGAAAGCACCGGTACTCTCTATCGGGATGGCGTCCACCCTAAGCTCGCCCATGACCACTTTACAGGCCAGTGGCAAGTGGTGAATGTAGTAAGGGAGGGACTAAGCTTCACAGGGAGACTCCATGGACGTCAGATTCGCCACGGAACGGTAGCCGCCACGGACTTCAAGCCATTTTACGCTCGCCCATCAGACATCCGCCATCCATTCGAAGACGAATTTGGCCAGTTTGTATGGTCACCGGACCTCGGGCTAGTGGAAGACTCCGTTGTCGCAGCACCTCTGTATACGCTGGTGGATAGGAGGGTGGCTCAAGGTACGGGAGGAACTTCATCAGCATGGGCCTGGGAGTAAAGTGGGAAGTATCAGGACGGTACCACTTCCTCGTGGATCACTGAAGACACTGCCAGCGACAGTTTTTCACCACTAAAGTGGTAATTTTCAAGGACCCGATTTTGGTTGTCCCTCCATACCTTTTGACTGAGATCGAATTAAAAAAAAAAAAAGAANTATCAGCATGGGCCTGGGAGTAAAGTGGGAAGTATCAGGACGGTACCACTTCCTCGTGGATCACTGAAGACACTGCCAGCGACAGTTTTTCANACGGAGCGAGGGGATGGCGAGCCTTGGGCGAGGCAGAATCCGCTACTAGCGGTATGATGAGTGCATGCTGGTTCCTCTGCTTGCTGTGTTGTGTGCGCTAAAGTGGTAATTTTCAAGGATCCGATTTTGGTTGTTTTTCCATAACTTTTGACTGAGATCGAATTTATATAAAAAAAAAAAGACAGCTTCAGAACGCCCGTAGCATGGCGCAAAAGAGTAGCGAGTCGCCAGAGAAAAAACAAAAAAAAAAAGTGCTCGCGGCGGGTCTCGAACCCCCGACCTTGGCCCGAGAGAATCTTTTCACCCATATATTTTCGTGCTCCTGAGGACACTAGTCCCTGTCAGAGACAGAGGCTGGTGCTCTTGCAGCATTCTCCCACTGCCAAGGGTGGCTATTTCCTTTCGTGAGATGTGACGAGGAGAGAGGTACAAAAAAGAGTGACCAGAGGGTCGAGAGGGGCGAGCCGGAGGCTCCCCCATCTCTTCCCTCGGCAAGCGGCCATGGACTTCGGAAGAGACAAATCTCCTCGGTGCTTTACTTGCAACTTCTCCCGATGGCAAGTTACCCCGAGGAATCATATCTTCCTAACTTTGTATGTGCACAAATGGTTTGTTATATATTCCGACAGGTGTCCTCCACATCACCCCCCCCGCTATGCGCCACAAGTCCATCTGTGCTAAAGATGTGCTTTTGGCGTTCAGAGACATGAGTGGCTCATGGAGACGCATGTATCGGAAATAACCTATATCCATTGTGCAACACCATCGNCCAAACACTGATAGAATAGGTTGTTTCCAATGAACACAACCTACCACCGTGGCTACCGGTCCTGTGTTAGTGATGGACACAGGATAATGGTAGTAGACAAATGTCCCAAGTGTTGAGGAGTGTTGCTGTATGGCACAGATAGGGTACACAGTCGGTCTAGATTAAGATGGGGGACGTCAGGAGGTAT